ATCTCCTATGAAGATACTGTTGGTTTTCAAATGGCACTTCCAATGAAACTTCTTCTTGGAGCCGATTCAATTTTGCAGAGAACTGTTGGATACTATAAATGGAAATTGTTCATGTCACATTTACACTTAATGTAAAGTGACAAATTAATTTCTAATTTTACTTAAGCCTTTAATTTTTCTTTAAACGTTATTCCTTTTTTCAATTTGGCAATTTTATTTTTAACTTTCTTGTTGACCTTTCTCATGGTCGTTGCGGTCATCGCACTTCCTGTGGGGAAAGTCAACCAACCCCTCTATTCACGCCTTTCTTTTTCTTCTTTTAATTTTAGGGGGGCTAACTAGCCAATCCCTTTCCTTTAAATTTCAAACTCTCCGCCTCTTTAAATTTAATTGGTCGTAGTTTTTCTGGTCTACCCCAGTTAAGGAATTTTTAAGTCACTTTTTGAAAAGATTCTCTGTTGGTTTCTTCCTTGCATGTTCTTTTTTCGAGATGCGGACTTCGGTCCGTATCGAGGGATTTCTTTTTATTTTTTTCTTAACCTTTATCTTAAATTAAATCCATATCTCTAATCAAATTCTGTAAATTTAAAATCAAAATTTTATACCTTTAATTTTCTTTAACATTAAAAGCCCTCTCAAATTTAAGTCTTCTTTTCATATTTATTTTTTTACGGTTAAATTACTCGTTCTTTTATATTTAACTTTATGCATGACGCCTTTGGTTTCGTTAAATTCTCTTGTCACCCATTTCTATTAAAGGTGTTTCTACTGTTAAAAATGGTTTTAAAGACGTATTTCCACTAGTTATGTTGTTAGTTATTCTTTTTAAATAAATCTTAAACGCAAGTTAAAAGTGTGTGTTTCCTTTGATGGTTGTCTTTTAAAATGTCCTATGTGTACTGGGTGAGTACCTTTCAATTATTGTTATGGGCATGCATAAATGTGAATTTATTAGTTTTTCCTATTGGAAACATCAGCTTACTGTTTAAATCATATATATATATATTGGATATAGCATGACTTTACCTTATTTATCTTTAATATTTAATTTATTTTAGTTTCGCCTTTTTTCCAAATTTGGTGATACCAAATCATCAAATTTGTTCAAACCTCACACTTTGTGACCCTTTGAACCTATTGGGTTAATGTTATCCCACATTAGCATTGTACTACCACTTTCCTTAACGATCACATTCCCCTTTAATTTAATTTAATTACCCTTTCATATGTTTCGGCCCTTAATTTATTCATCATGACATTTCGATCTTTTAACTATTTTTAATCATGACTATATCCAATTACTAGTACATATACCAAATATTTCAATCTATTAATTATAATTCATAAATAACTTTGCTTTATACGCACCAAATATCATATTTTTTAATGTAACTCTTACAGTTCACTCTGATGGAAAGCTGGGAGTTCTAAGTTCAATCCTTACTGCGAATGAAGCAACCAGTGTGGATATTCAGCAAGGACCACTTTAAATCTGCCGTGGCGGAATGTCCTCATGTTGAAGAAAGATGTTGTCATGTTGAAGTTTGAAGAAGGAGGAAAGCTTGTGAGGTTCATCCTTGTTTTGTGTTTTACATACATTATTAATTGTTGCTGAATTACATTATTAACTGTTGCATAAAAGCATTTAATGACTGCTTGTAAATATATTTTTAAGAAAATAAAGACTTATAATTGGAAGGACAAACTCAAACTGTATCAAACATTTCTAAAGTTATGATTTTGTTGTTGTTGTTGTTAATTTACGTCGCACTAGAGCTGCGCAATGGGCTATTGGCGACGGTCTGGGAAGCATCCCGGAGGATGATCCGAAGACATGCCATCACAATTTTGATCCTGTGCAGAGGGGGTGGCCCCTCCGCTTCGGTAGCCCGTCGACCTGCACTTTACGGTAGCACAGTTTAACGAGGACCAATACCGCACACCCTCGGTCCCTAAGCAGACTGATCCAAGTGGTCACCCACTCGCACACTGACAGTAGCCAGTGATGCTTGACTTCGGTGATCTGCTGGGAACCGTGTCTTAACGATCAGTCCACTGCGGGACTCTAAAGTTATGAAAAAAATTATTTTATTTAATAACAATGATGTATTTTTAGCTTGTGTTTTAGCGAAAGATTATTAACGGTAATTTCAAACAATGAAGGTAATGTATTGCATTTACAATTGGATGAATTTTTTTTTACAAGTGTGTTTTGTTTTTAAATAAAATTATTATGCTATGAAATAGTTATTTTTATTATGGATTTCTTCTTAATTACTGCATTGTGTAATTTATTTTCCACTTTGTTAATAAATCTTCAACATTTTAAAGGAATTTGATTTGCCAGGTATAATATTTGCATTGACAAAATTTTATGAAATATAACGTTAAAAAAATCTTTTTAGTAGATCGTGCTTTAAGTGTCATGAAAACAGTTGAATATATTTAAAATTTGGTTATTTTTAATCTTTCGGTGTGATATCGGAAGCAATTTTCCTTAAACACTGATTTTAAAGTATAGCTCAAACTCGTGAGAGTTTTTAATATCAACATTGTATTTATTATTTTAATTTTAGAAATTGTCAAATGATTATTCATTTGAAATTTGAGGCAAAGAGATGCCTTTTTATTTTAATCATTTTTAAAATATTATAATTGTAAAATAATTATAATCGTAAAAAGTTCTTTTGACTTAAAGCTGAATAACATTCACATTATGATAAAAATTCCTAATCATAACTTTCATAAACTTTCATTCACTTAGCAAAAACTTTCATCTGAAAGGTTCTGTATATTCTTTGAAAACATATGTGTGATTGCATCTTTTTTTTAAAAAGTCCCATTCAAGATGTTTACCTATAATGTCATGTTTGTTTTTACTATGTTCGTAATGCATAAACTCTTATCAGCAAAATACAAACAATGGAATTGATTGATTTTAAACAAAAATTTTGTGATGGCAAGGTTTTCAAAAAATAACTGATGGTATAGTCAAGTATGGATCAATACAAACTTCAGCTTAAAGTAAGAAAATATGTTATGTTTTTTCGTATCATTCTTTCATGATATTAAATGTTTGTGCAAATTTAATTCTGATAAAATTCAATATTTACTTCCTTTTTTTGGTTTCCAGATTTAAATGTTACCTAAATTTTAAGGAAATAAAAGTAAATAGTGCATTTAACTAATTATTGAATATTGAATCGGTAAAAATTTCTGATGTGCCAATGTAAAATTATTTTCACATTTACGAAAAATTATTGGCAAATTTTTTCAATTAAAATTCATAATGGCTTTTCTTTTGTTTTACTCCCTGTAAATATTTCTACAGGTACCTTTGGGTTTTGTTTAAAGTGTTTTGTAAGTAAAATTTAAGATTCTGAAAGGATAAAGTTACGTAAGTACTTTTCCGTTTAATTTCAGTGAAAAAAGAAGTTAAAAAATTTATGCAAGTAAGTAATTTGAATATTTTTAAATTTTCCTTATTATCTCAATTATTACAAAAAATAACAGTTTAAAAATCTGAGATATAATTTTATTTTAATATTTTCGTAAATGAATGACTTATAGTTATATTTTAAAAGGAAAAAAAAATAGGAAAATTTTCAACTCAATTCAAATGTAAATTTAACTTTGCAATTATGTAATGTGGTTTTCTTAATTTACAATTTCAGAATATGAATTGAATGATAATTGTGAAATTACAAATGGCTTAAGTTACACATTTTATAAAATATGTTTTACAAACTAGCAGATTCAATTGGGATTTTGATTAAATAAGCTTATTTCTGAAAAAATTAAGAGTACATTTTAAAATTAAAGACTTGAAAATTATTAATGATATAAAACTTGTCAGAAAACCCATTGTATGAAGAAGGAAAAAATATCAATAGAAGTTGTATTATTTCTGAAATAAATTTGAAATGTTCAAAAAAATCAGCTGAACATAAGATGTACCTTGGAGTAGGAGGGAGGAAAAGGGATATTAGCAGAGTTCGCTAAAATAATTTTATTTAATATTACTGTATTGCTTAGTAAATAATAAATGGAATGACATAAAACTATTGTTCTATGTTTTACTGCTTCGCAGCTATACAGAAAATTAAGTAAAATTATCTTGCCGAATTATTCTACTACCATCCAAATCTTCCACTTGATTACTCCAAAAATAAAAAGCAACTCAAGATAATATCAGAAAATACAAACTCTAATATTATTTAGTATCAAAACTAATGAAAAAAAATATTACAGTGAACGCTAGATAATATTAGTTTGCGTAGAATCTAATATTATGTAATGCAGAGCAAACAGCGACCTCTTGTGTCTTTCTAATATTAGAAGTTGTGCAAGATAACGTTAGATTTTTCCGATTTTCTGATGTTTTCTAATATTAGATGCTACTTGGGAAGGACTCTGCTCAGAACATGGAACCAGCGTTTTCTCCGGAATGGCGTATTTGAGCGTTGCGATCGCGAATATACAGTGCGGGATGTGGATGTCTCCTTCAGAGTCCGTTTCGTTATTAAAATAAACATTAGCCATTATTTAACCAATAGCACCATCTGTAGCTTTATACAGTTTACCATTCTAATACATAAACAGACTGAGACCTTTTTTCCAAGTTCCTTACATTGCCTACAGGTAACGCATGCAACTTAAGAAAGAAACTTCTGGATCCGTTTCATTATTAAAGTAAACATTCGTCTGTATCTGACCAATAGCGCCATCTGCAGGTTTATGCAGTTTACCATTCTAACATATAAACAGACAACGACCAGTTTCCCAAGTTCCTTACATTGCCTCCAGGTAACGCATGCCACTTTAAAAAAAACTGTTCGTATTTATTGTTAGCGATAGAAGCGCTTCCACGTCGATTTTTTGAACTAAAATCATTGAAAGTTGTCTTATGAAGTATCAAATCTGGTGCCGTTAGTTTCTTTTATTTTTATTTTTATAGGTAATTTTTAATATGGCGGATTCTGCACAGGTATGTTAGTAATTTTCAAAATTAATAAGTGTATTGTTTTGATATGTTTTTGGTTTTGGAATGGGAAATCGTTCGTAATCGAAAATGATGTTTCTGTATTTAACTATTTTAAAGTTAGAAATCATTTCTGTCCCAATTTCCATTCAACTTTTTAGTAGTTTTGTTCTACTGTTAGCCGCTGTGATCAACAATACAGTTTCATTGAATGATTATTAAGTACATATTTTTTGACTCATTACTGAATTTTACAAAATTGGTGAGGTATAGTGTTTCTTTATGTTTTTCGTATTTACAAGTTTTGTGCAATCTTTATTATAAATATAGCAGATGCGCTTATAGTGTTTCATATCTTCATTATTATTCATTTGTAATTGTGTAAGATATTAAGATTTTATATGCTTGTTAATATTTTTTTTTTAATTTCAAACAATTATTTTGAATTCGACCTGAATTTAAAACTTTTAACAAATGTTGAAGAAATTAGCGTTTATTGTTGTAACCCGGTAGTGATCTGCACAATGAAAAAATACCGTTATTTTTTTTCTTTTTCTTTCTTCTCCAGTCAGCTGAAGATGTTATAACAATCTGTCAGTTTTATCGGTTGATTGTAGTTTATTGCTGAATTTCTGTGGTTTATATATTATAAAACGTTCCTGATATTGAATTTAAAATAGTTATTTGTTTGTTGGTATATATTAATGTTTACATATTTCAGGTAAGTACGATGTATGTTTATTCATGGAATAATGCAATTTTAATTAACTTCAGATGCGAAAGAAATAAAATTAATTTTAAAATATTTCTTATGTAGCAAAAAATTAATTGATGCGTTATTGTCATTGCAACATTTTAAATTTTCTTTTTGTCACCTTTTTCCCTGTGGGGAGCGGTAATGAATATGGGTCATCAGTTATGAAATCAACTTGAATTATATATTACCTTTTTGTCTCTATATGATTTTTATTAAACTATTGGTTATAATTAATATTTTTAAAATATTTGGTGAATTATGACATACATATTATCTGAATGTATATTGAGTTCAAGGTCATTATTGTTTTGGCAAATATGTGAAAGTAATGTATTAATATTATGCAATGAGTCAATGTTTGTGTTGTTTATCTGAACATATTTTAAATAGATGAAGAAAAATTTATTTGTATTGTTAAACTTATTGAATAAAATATATTTCATTAATATTTTAAAAACATATAAGTTGATCTTTTAATGTTGCTGGTGCTGATGCATCTATTGCTTTATTTTAAATTTTTTTAAAATTGTATATTTACATACTTAAGGGTGAGTCTGACACCCCTATAGAAGTAAATTACTTTGTTTCTGTGGTATTGTATACCACAATGAAATATTTGTTTTATAACATAAATATATTATGTTATATTTAACCTTGGCAAATTAAAATACATGGGATAAGTAGCTTGCAATCAATCTCATAAATTTTATTATATTACTCTAATATTGTATATTTTTGTTAAATTAATAATTTTTAATTAAGAAAATTACTGCGATTTAATAATTACCTCTTCTATATAATTTATGTAATCACGAATCAATTGCGAATTATTAGCTTCATGTGTGAAGTAATGTATTATTTTTTCAATACGTTACTTCCATAATATTCGGTTAAAATATTTTAAATAACTTGTAATTATTTAAATAATTGTCTATGAGAATTTTTTTTAAATTTTATTTTGTATAATTAATATTTATATGGTTTTAGTTTTAGTAAGTACAGAGCTCTCCTTAGGAATAAAAAAGGACAGGGCACTTCCTCTCTGAAAAGAGAACTTTTGAAAGGACACTTACTTAGCACCGTAAAAATTTATCAAGATATGTAATGTTATGTAATAATTGAATTTTGTCAGCAGTTTTTAAATTATCTTATACTTTTTCATGTGTATGTTTCAAAAAGTAATTCTCTCTCATTTTCAAAATATGAGAAAAATTTGTGGTTAATAAAAATGCATGCTAAAAGACAATCTCTGTGCGATTTTTTTTTTTTTTTAAAAAGTAAACTAATAAAAAATGATTAATTGATAAACAAGTTGAAAGCTTTTCTTCTATAATTTAAATTGAAAATTATGAGAAAATAAACATTTAAATGTGCATTTTTTAAAAATAAAGGTATTTATTTAAAAAATAAATTTAAAATCACTTAAGAAATTTATTTATATCCCTATTATTTAAAAAATAAATTAAAAAATAAATCTGATTTCCGGATAACGGGTTCTGTGTATGTAATTTAAAACAATTGTTTTTAGCAGACAAATTTTATATTTTTTTGTTATCTCATAATTTTTAAGAAATCATTTGTTACGTAAATGTTATTCGCACTAATGTTAATGAGTCTTTGAAGTAACTTTCTGTTTTGCATTTTGATAGCTATAGATAATATTTATGTATTGAAGTTATAGCAGAGGGACAAGTGATTCACAGTAATTCAGTAATCACTCTTTTTAAGTGTATCAGATTTAAAAAAAATTGTCATTTAGATCTTTTTAGCTGACAAATTTTAAATTGTTATTTTTTAATTCTCCCGAAATTGTTATGTTATTATTATTCACACTAATGTTAATGAGCATTGTTTACACAATTTTTGAGTTAACTTTTTGTATATTGAATTGGTAGTTATATGTAATATTTATGTATTGCAGTTATAGCAGAGGGTCAAGTGATTAGGGCTGCCTCAGTTTCTAATCGATGATTGAGGTTGTTCTTCATTACTTGGGACAAACATCGATTCCAGCATTCCTTTCTTTCATATGGAATGGTAAATATTTTTAAAGAAGCTTGATTTTTTCTTACAGATTTTCTGTGATTTGAAGCCTAAGGATCTACTAATTATTTTATTTCTTTAACGAAATGGTTATCTGAGTATTTGTTTATTCTTGCAATTATATTATTGAGCTAAACATAAAATTTGGAATATCAAATAATGTATTGCACAAACAAGTTGAATACCTTACTTTCTTCTGTTTACCAGATGATTTATGTATCAATCAATAATTAGACTGGCATACGACTCTTCAGCTAATTTGTGGAGTTCCACTAATCTAGAATTTTAATTTTGATTCTTATGCCAAATCTTGTTAAAGAAACATTTATTCCGTCCATAAGAGCACAGTCTTTTTTTCTTATGTTGTCATTTACGCTTAATATTTTTTTTATGTAGACTTGTTAGAGAAAAATGCAACTTTGGATAAACTTTGAGGAAAAAAATGCATTAGTAACTTAATCTAGAATACAAAGAGGCATATATTATCTAGAATATCATAGAGGCAAACACAAAAGTATAAAATTGGTAATCAAAAAGTAATTCCGAAATGGCAAACATTTAAAAGATTGTTCACTAGAAAAAATGGTGTTTGTACTATTAGATGTGTCAATATATGAAGATTTAAATAGGGGGATTTTTTTTTGTTGATTTTGGCAGAAAGTAAAAATGTAATGCAATATGTCTAATTGAAACAAAAGATGAAAAAAGGATCATAATAATTTTATAACTTTTATTTTGTTGTAGACCTCAGGGTGTATATATATAAATATTTCGTTATAAATGTTCTTCATGTGTTGATCAAAAAATATTAGATAAAAATTTATTTCTTTTTTCTTTTAAATGTCTTATGTGAAAGAAAAAAAAGCACTAAAAAAGTACTTAAAAAAAAACCTACATTAGGGGTGCGCAACCTGCAGCCCGCGAGACAAATGCGCCCCGCCAACCCTTGATGTGCGGCCCGCGGCAACAATCTGAACAAAATGGAAAAAAAATTCTTTTTTTGAAAAAATAAAAAGAAATCGGAAATTTAAAATGTTAATTTATTTAAAATTTATAAAGTTTTTGACCCACCTAATCTCAATCCAAGTTGTTTTGCTATTGCTTTTTTTCGAGGGTTTGTATGTATGTATTTAGCATAGTTTAGAAAATCCCAATATTTTTAATACAGTACAGAACCCGTTATCCGGAAATCAGAAAACCGGAAAACCAAAAATCCGGAGCGAAATTCGATAAATATTCCCGCTATTTAAAAAAAAATTTTTTTTTTTCCTCATATGATTTTAGGATTTTTCTTTCTTTTTTGAAAGATGTTTACCCTAGCATCATTTTGGAAATAATTATTAGTGTATTACTTCGTTTTTTCAAGATTATTTCCAAATAATTTTTTTTTAGTTGGGTTTTACAATAAAAAAAAAAACTACTTTTTGTAGCGATTCAGAAAACCGGAAAAATCAGTTATCCGGAATAGCGATGGTCCCGATCGTTCCGGATAATCGGTTTCCTACTGTACATCAATTATTACGATACACGAATTTTAAATTTTAGTTATCACTTTTGACGCTTTTCGTGTATGCCTATTTCATTGTAAATCCAATGACTTTTCGGTAGTTATTGCTACCTATTTTCTTGTAGTTTCTGAAATCCTAATTTTTGAAAGTTATGAAACGCTTTATTTGCATAAACTTCATGACAAATCTAAATGACTTTTGATCATTTTTTCAGTAGTTATTTCCACTCATTTTATGAATGGTTTTTAAAATATCAATATTTTAGTACAATATTATTACGAATTGCGAGTAAAGAATCGCTCATTTTGATAACCATTTTTTTGTCGTGGTTTATTTAATCCGATTTTATCACAAATCAAAATATTTTTCAATCGCTATTTTGACAATTATTGCTACTCATTTCCACAAGGTTTTTAAAGTCCTGATCATTTTTATATGCTATTGAGATACTTTATATTTCGAATCCGCGTTTAAGCACATAACTTTTTGACGCGCTTTATTTACACCGATTTTATCGTAAATATAAAAGGATTTTGATAATTTTTTTTTAGTTATTACTATGCTATTCCCCGTGATTTAAAAAAATTCTGATATTTTTAATTCTATAGTTACGGGAGTTTTGAATCGCACATTAAAATGATTACTATTTATGTGCTCTATTTATGCCGATTTTGACATAAATGTACGAGGTTTTTCGACTGTGTTTTTCGTTCCTGTTATTGCTGCCTTTTTACTTGTGATTTTGAATATTCTGATATTTTATCACAATATTACAACTCGTGAAATTCGATTCCATTTGAATTATTTATTTTTTTGTCACTTAAAAAGTAATAAAGCATCTTAGCCAAATCGACAACTTCTGAAGAGATTGTAAAAAAAAAGCGAGATGTGTATATTTGTATTAAACACGGTTTCTTTTGCAAAAAAATAATTCAAAACATGTGTATATTTGTTTAGTCCCATGAACCCGTTCAAGTTTAACAACACTCACCCAACCTATTCTTTTTGTTGTCACATGAATTAAAAATCACATATCGCAATTCGTATTTACATGTTTTAAAAATCACACATTAGGATTCTTCTAGCAATTTAAAAGTATATATGTGATTCGTATTTACGCGATTTAAAAATTGTACATCGTTTTTCGTATTAATATTAAAAAAATTAAAAAATCATCCATCACGATTCGTATTCACGAGATTTTAAATCACAGATTGCGATTCGTGTTCTGGCATTTACTCATCACAATATATAAAAAATTTGCAAATTGCAGGATAACCAATAAAAAAATTTTTAAACCATTTTCTTCCAAGTTAGACCATTTTATATCATATATGATCATATGGTGGGAAATGATTTGTATTTTATTAAATTTTAACTGTAAAACAATGTAATCAAGATAAGCTTTGTAAAGTAATGTAAATTTTAATTGATTGTTAATTATATTTGTGTTAATTGAAAATAGTGTCGTGTTAAAAATTTTTTTGTCATAAAAAGTTGCAAACACAAGTATCTTAATAGTTTTTATTTATTATGAAAAATAATTTCTTCAAAATTAATGTTTTTTTTTCTTTTTTTTTCCTTCCCTCTCTCAGTCCCTGCCTCTTATAATTAATTTCAAATAAATGTTATACAGTTAAAGTGTATTCCCTACTACAGTGTTTCCTAAAGTGTGGTACGCGTATCCCCAGGGGTATGGGAATAGTTTAGCGGGAGTACGCGTTCTTATGCAAAATATCTTGTAACAAACGACAATTTCAAAATATTTTATTTAAAAACGGAGCTAGCCATTAAAATTTATGATTACGTATTTTTCTATTGGCTAATTTTTGCAGAGTTAACAGTTATTAATTAGTGGTGTCAACAGCCAGTTGTGATTTTTAACTTTTGTACAATTTTTTTATAGTAAATAATTCATTCATTTTTAACGTTACAAAAAATTTAGAAGGGGTACACAAAAGTCATAAGTTTGGGAAACACTGCCCTACTAATTTTAATAATTTTAATTATAATAATTTTAATTTAATTATAATAAACTTAATTTTAATAATTTTTTACCCTATAAATTTTCTTTAAATCAAAGTAATTTATTAAAATAACTTGTATTAAAATAACTTGCATTTATTTTAATAACTAGAATATTAATTTATTTTTAAATTTAATTCTATAAACAAATTTTTTAATGTTAAAATTTATGTTTAAATTGACTTCTGTATTATGTAGAATGATAAAAAAAAATATGAATTTTCCCATAGTTTTTAATTATTTCTATTTATCTAAAAAAAAAAATTCTGATTCTGTTTTTTTCCTAAGTAATCAGTTTTGCAGTTTCTAATTTTAAACATTTTAGTTTTAAGCATTTAATTTTATGCAAACATATTACAAGGTTAACTGACAAAAAGAATTTAGTGCCCAGAACAACGGTGTTTATATAACGTTTACTACCTAAAATTGCTGTCAGTATATCTGTCTAAATACTTTGGCATGTGGCCCTTCATAGATCAATCTGCTGTTAATGTGGCCCTTCACTCAAAAAGGTTGTGCACCCGTACCCTACATGTTGAAAAAGAAATTCAGATAATTTCTTCTCCCAGCAGTAAGTTGTCTATTAGATTGAAATACAAAGTTGTGATTAGCAGAAGATACTAGAACTCTGATTATCTGATGCTTGATTATATGACACCTGTTCTGATGTCCAATAAATAGCACCCTGATACCATTTTATTATTATTCCAGCTAATATTACCTAATTACTGTTGCTTTTGTAGATCTTGTAGCTCGATTAAATTCAGTTACTTAACTGTAATGAGTAAAATTTTTAGTACTGTTGTAAATTTGCTTACCATAACAACATTTATTAAAAATATCAAAAGTGGGATTGTGGAAACGACCGAAAAAAACAAACAAATAACTGCTGAAAAACGATCAACAAACAGTGTGATATTATGATTAAAGCATTTCAAAATTTTAATAACTTAAATTCGAAATAATCATCAGAATGAGAGAGAAACAAGTGGAAATGAAATGCCTTATGTAATGTTTGCTTCTAGGAAAAAAGATTTTTTTTGTTTGGTTGGCTGCCTAGAGTCTGAATAATTATGAGTAAATATTTACTATATTTTTTTCCTTTTAGGGGACCTTGGATCATTTGGTCCATTTTCTTTTGAAAGACAATGGTCATTTTATTGAGTTACAACTGTATTAAAACTACTTAATTCAATACTTTGAAGTAGATTTGTTCTAAACAATTTTCATAGCCATGTGTATAGCAATTGAGACATAATTTTTTTTTTGTTTCAACAAGCAGCCTTTTTTTAGATTGCACAAGTTTAAAATTAATATAATATTTTTGAGCACTTAAGAATACATTGTTTGGATTTAAGTGTCAATGCAATTGTTTTAACTGAAATGGGGTTATTTATTTTTTTTTAGGATAATCCATCAGAAAATGAACAAGAGTTCAGTATTGAAGAAACTTTGCCTGGTGTACGAAGACCGATGAATGCTTTTTTCATCTTTTGTAAACGCCACAGAGATATTGTCCGAGAGAAATACCCTCATTTAGAGAATCGTAGTATAACCAAGATCTTGGGAGAATGGTGGGCAAATTTGGATCCATCAGAAAAATCCTCCTATACTGCTTTGGCCAAACAGGTTGTTTTACGAGGTTAATGACCTACCTTTGCTAGTGGTAAAGTTATTCATAATAGTTTAATTTATGGGAAACTTTTGAAATATATTTTAAGTGACAATTTTGTTGTAATACTCTGCTTGTTAGAGATAAAGGAAAGATCTGTTATGGTGCTAAAAGGGAAACTGACCTGTCTCTCTAATTTGTAAGCTAATCGACTTAAAATTCTTTGAAAATTTATTTATTGAATCTAATTACTTTTTGCCATATTCTGTTTATGATGGTAGCTGTGTTGTTGTTGCATGATTCATAATTTTAGTGAGCTAGGAAATTAATTTTTTTGCCTGTTGTGTTTCTACTTGGATATCTATCTAGCATATGATCAATAACATAAATAAATATTGTTCGTAAAAATCATGAAAGCTGGTAGGTATACAGTGGTATTTAAAGTAAAATAAGTGCACTATACAAAGATTTCATTAAGTCTATTATATAAATTTTTTAAATAAAACTGAGAAATAATTACTTATAAAATATTGAAACATGTGCAGTCCTGCCAATTCTCAGGCTTTTGTGTCCTATCTCAAGACCTCAAACCAACAAATATTTTTTCAGGTTCTTTTGTAAATAACTTCATAAATTAAGAGGACTGGGGCACATTTTCTATACAGCCCTCTAACTCTTTCTCCCAGATAAGTGATTTTGCAGTTCAAATAATATGTCTGGTTAGTCGTTAATTCTTTTTTAGAACCTTTTAAAAGTTTGAAATGTTTGATAAATCTAAAAAAAAGTATAATATTGTTTTTAAAAAATTGTGCATTGATGATTTCTGTTTTTAGATAAATATCTTAATTCTTGCTGAAATAGCTCAGAAAAAATTTTCCTGCTTCAGAATTTGTTCATATTTTTGATATGATCGCTGGAAAATAATTTAATGATAGTAGCAAGAAAAGAAATGCATGCAGTTTTTGGCCAAGTTAATGTTGGCAGTATGAATCATTTATCTCAGAGATAACCTGTGAAAGAATATTCAGCCTGCGTAAAATATTCTTAATTTTGGATTGATCATGGGTTAGAATCCCCTTGACCCTAGGCTAACTGTGGGGTGTTTTCAAGATTTTTCTCTTCGTGTTACCAAAATGTGGGTTAATTCCATCGAAAAGTCCTCCATAAAGGCTAGTTTATCCCAGTGTTTGATCCAGGAATTCCCTTGTCTTCTGCGTTGGGTTCAAAATTACAAAGCAATGAAGTTGAACCTCAATAGTTATAAACTCAGGGTGGACTGTGGAAAAAAAAAAAAACAGACTCAGGAAAAAATAAACAAACTCTGGAACAAAGAATCAAACTCACAACAAACTCTGGAGAATTTCGTTTTAAAATCAAACAAAAAAAAGTTGAAGTAAGTTTTTATCTCAAGTTTTTAAAAAATACTCTATCATTTACTCTGTCTGAGTTACTAATTTTTAAGGGTATAAGAATTACTTTAAACTTAATTTAGAAAATGCGTGATTTATTATTTTTTTAATTAATTTTCATTTTGTTTGTTGATTTATGACATTGTCCCCAAAAGACTCTGGCATTTTTTACATTGGCAGGTCTAATTTAGTATATTAATTGCATTTTAGGCTATTCAGAATTTGCAAACACTTAAAATCAGATTGATATAATTTGCTTTATTTTAAATAATTAAATATTTTATAATTAATTATTTTATAATATATTATTTTATAATATATTATTTTAATTAAATATTTTATATTACTTGCTTTATTGCTAACATTTTAAATTTTTTCTACACTTTTGTATTCAATTATTGTGACCAAATAGTTTTAAAATTCATAATTTATTCCTATTAATGCAGGAAACATTCTTATTCAGTTTATGCAAATATGTCTTTAAAAATTATAGGATATATTTATTTTATTTATTTTCTGTATCTTACCTTATATTGTTGTTTGCCTCATCTTGATAAATTTTTTTTTTTTAAATTCTCAGTAATTTAATAACTAAAAATGTATTCTCTGGAGTTTGAATTTTTTACATTATGTATTATGTTCAGGATGCTTATCATGATAAAGGATCACCACCATTTGTAAAGAGTGTTCCTTTTAACTCTAGCCCGCTACTAAGAGGTTTATTTTGTCTTCTGATTATATTATTTAAATGCATAGAATCAATATTTTCAATGAGAATGAGAACCCATTTTCACTTATTTTATTGATTTTGTGAAGTTAGTGGAAACATACAAATTATCATTGTATGCTTCCTTAAATTGAAACTTGGCTTGAGTGTAAATACTTATCAATTATGATCACCTTAATGAATTTTAGAAAACTCTTAAGATGAACATACTGGTTGAAAAGTAAATTAGATAAGCAGGATTATTTTTATTGTAGAATGCATATGAGAAGTGTCTTTTTCCTTGCCATTTTCTAAATTTTTAAGGATTTGCTTCAATTACACTCTTGTAACAATTTTATGTTATATTGGTATCAATAAATTTCTTGTTAATTTCATTTTAAGCTATTTAATTCCTACAACCTATTTATTAATAGCTATATTAAATAACCATAGTATTTTTTCTAATGTTTATTTTTTATTGTCTTAGTACAAAGAAGCATTTATGAAAGCTCATCCAGATTTCAAATGGTATAAATTGCCTACTCCTCCTGCTAGAACTTTGGTAACTCGACCAACAAACAGAGTATTTCAGCAGAATGAGAAAAGTTCTGAAAATTGTGGTATAACTATAGGAAAATTAGTAGGTAAGTTGCTGAAGTTATTGTTATTAATTTCATTACTCTGTAACCTTTTTAAAGACTTTTTCTCTTGCCTGAGAATATTCTTCCGTTAATCTTTTTCACATATTTAAAAACACTTACGGAAAGTATTTCATATAAATATCATGGATATACTTAGAGCAGCAGCCACTAAACTTTTTTGATTATTGACCTTTCTTTGCATAAAAAATGATTTTTTAAAAACAAACAAACATACCTATTTCTTTAATGATTTTTTTTATTTGACACAATCAAATTTTTACATAAATTAATGTGAAAGATATGCTTGATAAATGCTTGGCTAGATTTGCAATTTTTCAAATTTTGTAAGCTTTAGTCTTTAATCCCATACAAACTCCACATTAAATTTATTCCTCTGCTTTGCTGAAATAGAATTAACATGACTGAAGCCAGATTCAACCATATATGAGCTTGGGAATCCAATTAAATGGAGAGTGCTGTATAACAAAGTTTGAATATTTTTGTGTAATATTTATATTTGTCCAAAATTTACTCACAATTGAATTACTAAAATGCATCTTTGCTTCAATGATCACTAATTCAACTACTTTATCTTGCAAATGATTGTAAATAATTTTAACTTGAACAGAAAGTACCGTGATAATCCTTTCTGGGATATCCATATTTTCAATATCTCCAAAACATAATTTAAAATCACCGCTTAATTTTTGAAGATGATTTATATAGATTTCCAGTTATTCATCAATTATATCTAATTGTCAAAAATGTGAACTTTTTTGAATATCTTTATGTAATATTAAACTCATGTTTGTGAAAATTGCAACACCATGAAGGACTTACGCGAGTGAGCTGAAATTTTCAGGAAATGCAAAGTAGAGCATGATATGCAAATGATTAGAATTTCAGCCCCGTAGAGCATGCGTATAGCGCCCTCTGAACGGCGAATGGGTCAGAATAAATATACGGCTGTAGCCAAGCGAGTATGGTTATCAGTGGTTATCTGCTAGTGGTAAACGTAGCTTAGTCATTACTTATGCCTATTCGACGAAAGAGAGCGAGATTTCAACAACTTACGGAGTTTAAACGGGGGAGAATCATTGGCCTTCGTGAAGCTGGATTATCTTATCGTGCAGTAGCCGCTCGTGTGCAGCGTAACAGCAGCACAGTGATGCGTGTTTGAAAGCAGTGGATGGACGAGTGTCGGACAACTCGGAAATGCGGGAGTGGACCCCGAAATGTCACGTCAGCTCGTGATGATAGACACCTGTTCGGCGTTGCGCTAACAGACCGTACGTCTCCCTCTAGACTACGTGCAGCACAGTGGTCAATAGCAACAGGTGTTTCATTGTGTGCTTTATCAATTCGTAGACGTCTGCTGCAGCGTGGACTGCGCACAAGGACTCCTTTATACAGGATCCCCCTCACGCTAAACCTTCGCTGCCTGCGGCTGCAATGGGCCAACCAGCATAGGGACTGGCTTGCTGATTGGCAGTGTGTCGTGTTTTCTGATGAATCTCGCTTCAATTTGTGGTACCATGATTGCCGCATTCATGTCAGAAGCTATGCCGGTGGACGCCATCTTCCGGAGTGCGTTATCGAACGCCACAGTGGGCGAACACCCGGAGTTATGGTCTGGGGTAGCATAGCATATCATGGACAATCTCAATTGCTACGAATTGTGGGTAATCTGAACAGCAACCGGTACATCAGTGAAGTTCTACAGCCCCAAACTGTTCCCTTCCTTCAAGCCTTGCCAGGTGCTGTATTTCAACAGGACAATGCCCACCCTCATATTGCTAGGACTGTTCAATCCTTCCTTAAAAGGCGCCAGGTACAACTTCTTCCTTGGCCAAACGTATTCCCCAGATATGTCGCCGATTGTACATGTGTGTGATTTTGTTGGTCGGCGTCTCGCTCGTAATGCTTGTCCCGTTGCTTCTACAGACAAACCTTGGGTACGCATACAAACAGTATGAAATTCTCTTCCTCAGACAGATATTCAAAGTTTGCCTGACTCCAGGCCACGTTGTGTAGCAGCATTTATTGCAGAGTGTGGTGGTTACACAAAATACTGATTTCGATCTCTTGTTATTGTTTGTTTGCTTTGAAAGTTTAATAATTTATTTGTACCACCACTACCACTCAACTGTGTATTAAATTTCATTTAATTATGACGATTCCTTCATGGTGTTGCAATTTTAACAAACAGGAGGTTAAAAACTTAAGCAAGTTTAATTTAACTTGGATGATTGAAATAATAGTTGTATATACTGTGTTATCAATAAATTTGTGATTGAATAGCATTGATATTCATTCAGTAACCCCCTAGATCACAGCAATCCCTAATTATACTATATATCCACACTTCTCTGGCAACCCCCGACTTATGGGCATATATTTACTGAAGAGGGAGAACCAAAGAGACAGGTGACAAGTTCATAGCTGTTAACAAATCTGCATTTTTCTGAACCTTTTTTTATTTTCGCTGTGTTTTCCATCATTCTGTGCCAAAATTAAAGTATTTTTCATAAATTCGTGCATTCAATTTCCCCTTTTTTCGTGATTATTCAAATGAGCATTATATCGCATTCCCCATGGCAGAATCGCGGTGACATTGTCGCAGAAGGTTACGGAGTTCTTGCAGAAAGATTTTTTCTTTGGGAAGTAAAATATTTTTCTTTTCTTTTATTCTTTTGAAATATGTCCAAAAGATGCCTTTTCCGCACATTGAAGTGGGAAAAAATGCTAATGATTTTTCTATTCTTATTTGAGAATAATAAAAAATAAAGAATGAAGGTAAAAAATTTGGTTTTCTTTTCTGTAGAAATTTTTGTTCTATTTTTTCATGCAGTTATTATTACTGATTTCCGCATTTCTTTTAAAATCTGATATTTTTAATCTGATATTATTTATTACAACAACTGGATCTCAAACTGAAAACACGCATTTAGTAATCCCTTTTGAAGAGTCAAATTTGCATGATTTCGCCGTCAATCTCTTTTTTTTTGGTAGTTACTGCTACAGATTTCACGATTTTTTTTTTTTTTTTAATGTGATGATGACTTACAAAATATGAAAAAGGAAAGAAATAGTGAGTTATCTTCCTACAAAATGTGAGAATATTGCCCATAATATCAGAATTTTAAAAAAAAATTGCATATTCAATTAAAAAATTATTTTATTTGATCCAATTTATTTATTTATATATTTTTTGAAGTTAACGTTTCTGTTACTTTAAATTAGTAACATATATATTTGTTATTTTTAAGTATCTTTCTGAAAGATGTTTAGTGTTAGAGAGGTATGTCAAAGAAGCCCGAAAAATTCTGCCACAGGGATTGCATGCTGTTTTATAATGAAAAAAAATTAGATATGGAAGCAAAATCCGTTTTTTGTGATTATGGCTTTTTTAATATGCAAGAAAACTTGCATATTTTTTTCTTAATTCTCATAAGACTATAATGATTGACATAAGTTAGCACATTTTTTACTGTTTTGTCATGATTAGGTGTATCATAAAGTGATTATTCAACTATGTGATTCAAAATTCACGTATTGCCATATTATTTTATATAAAAGAAACTGCTTTTAAAAACTATGAATATCTGTATTAATAACTGCCGAAAATGCAATCAATAGATCTTCTTAGATTTTCAATAAAATTATCACAAACAAAAGCCTGGTTCTTTGAGTGCATGATTGGAAATTTACTGTACAAACTATTATAGAGTTAAATAATCGATATTTTAAAAGTTATGTTAAAATCCCCATCTGTGCGATTAATGAAACCATGTGAATAAGCGGTTCAATCGTCACTAATCGAGAGCCTAAAAAAATTATTCGTGAAGTGGGTGGTTCGAAATTCATCATACAAAATATTATAATAAAACATTGACCTTTTAAAAATCGAGTCATATTAAAATTTTAAAAAGGTGATACTAAAACGCCTTACTTGAAATTTGAATGTTGTAATAAAATCAGATTTAAAAAGTTTTTCATTTATCTTAGAAAGTTTTTTATTTTATCTAAGTCTAATTATATGCATTCAGGTTCTTGAAGTTCGGCTGCATTTTTAACTGTTCATCTAGATGTGGCTTTTGTATTTTACTTGTGTAATTAGTTTTTTTTTGCATTGCTATTTATGCTCTAATTATAATTGTGTCCTTTTCATTTTAGATGATGAACAATTGGGAGGTTTAAGCTCTCTAATTAATACTTCTGTTTCTGGCACACAGACTGCTGATAGCATTAATTTAGGCAATTCATTAATGGCTCAAAAAGGAGTAGAAATAATTGCAAAGCCCCCTAAAAAACGATACTTAATCAATGGAGAATTCCAGTCTTATGCAGAGCCACCTCCTGATGATGGGCAAGATTGTCAATTGCAAGATGCATGTTCTACCCTATTAGAATTTGCTGAGGTTAGTGTAATTTTATTTTTCAATAATTTATAAAATAATTTTATTTTTTTGATATGTCTGTAAACTTATCTAACTGATGAAATAACTTGCTTAAATTTTAATAAAAATTACTAGTTTCACTTTAAAATTTGGTAGCTTTTTTTTAACCATAGTACTAAGCATTTGATAAATTGGTTAATACGATACTATACTGAACAAACTCTAAATGTGGATTAAACAGGGTGCGTAGCGTTTGTAAAAAGTACTTAAAGGTGCTTTTTTGGGGATTTCGTTTTTAAAAGCTTTTAAAGGTGCTTTTTTCAGCTGGTGTTTTTAAAAAGTGCTTTTTTTCACAAAATTTTTTTCTTCTTCAGTGATATCTGGTGGATCCCATGCATTTAACGAAAAATGGGGTGTTTGCTACGTAATTATTGACGCGGACTTCTTGCCGTACCCACGTTATGACTTGCGCATGCGTGCACACCTAAAACCGAAACCCGAGTGCTCCGATTCGGATGGAGAATATCAGATCCTTATGAAATGTTTTTCTTTTTAATTTAATTTAATTTTATTCTTGTTTATTTTATTTTACTTCTAACACTTTTTTGACGTAGGGGGTAAGGGTACTTTTGTTCTGAGTTCAGGGTCAAGTTGAATTCACTCGGTGATGTGGGAAAGTACTGATTGTTTTGATTTACGTCCGTTTCTTTTTGGGTTTTTTTTTAATGCTAAAACTGTTTATAAAAAGTTTTTGTTTTTCAATAATATCATTGATTGAATATGAATTTTTTGAGTGCTTGAAAATGTTTGCAAAGTGCTTGAAAAGTTTTTTAAAAGTGCTTATTTTTGATTCAAAGATTTGGCTACACACCCTGTTAAATGTTTCATGCAATTTCTTACAAATTTGAGCAAGTTATCAATAACCAAATAAATGCCCCCTGCTACTGCCTGCTCTTGCAAGCAGATATTATTTTCACTACTGTGTCAAGGTGAATTTGCTTTAGCGAGAAAAAAAACAAATCAGAGTTGCAAACTGAAGAAAGAGGGTAGGTGAATGGATAGTAGAGAGATAAGAAAGAGTTTTGATTTATTAGAATTATTCTCGGGAATGGGGGAAAACCTGGTGTAGCATTAGAGAGCATAGTTTCACTCTCCATTTTAGAGAAGCAAAGGTGGCTTGTTTCATTCCCGGTTAGTGAATCATAAATCTGGAAATCTATGATCTTATTGATGAGTGTTTTTGATAACGATTTCAATTATTCTTTTGGTTCTTTTGAAGATAGTAATTAAGTTTTATTATAAGTTTGAATTAGAATAAATTTAATTACATTTACCATAATTTTGAAAAAATACACCGCCCTAGGATATATGCCTCATCCTCAGAATGCATCCTTTACAAATAACTTCATTTATAAAATATATGATTAAGTTGTTAAAAATAATTGAAATAATTATTAAACACAATTCATGAATAAACACCATCTTACTTTAAATCTGAAATGATACATTTCAATAATTTTCATAATAACTTTTTTAAAATAGCACATTTTGTGCAATTCAAACGCATAATCTGAAATGTATTATGTCAATAAATGCTACTTTAAGCTATCCCAATTTTCTTAAAAAGCTAAAAGTAATGGGAATAAGTTATTAAAATAGAATAAATTAATGAAAACTTTAAATTGTGTCATATAGAATATTAATCTCTAATTAAATCAAGGGATCACATCTTAAAATTTTGATGTTGAGTGTTTGTCATGAGTGGTAACATCACCAAGCTCATTCGAGACTATGATAGCATGAGTTAGTGTTAAGCCAGTTACTACTCTACTTTTTACTTTTATTTTTATGTATGCGAAATGCTCAGTTGTGTAATTGGTTGCTGATGCCTAATCTTGATGTTTAAAAGGTTGAGACTTAACAGTTATCTCTGCTCTCTCATTATGTTTTCTTAAATTTTTGCTACCATATAAATATCTTTTGCTGAAATGAAATCTATGCTGTGTCATGTTTCTGGTAGTATGGATGTTTTGTTAATGTTTTATTTAATCATTTGTACTTTATTTCACATATTCATGGTTGTAAAATAAAAGTTAATTTATTTCACAACTTTCTGCTTTATTCATTTACCACTTGTATTTCACTCTGCAAACATGATTGACGGTTGGTGAGAAATAAAAATCCAACCAGCACAATTGTAATAGCACATCTTTTAGTTTTAAATACTTAAACTAATCAAACAACTAAAAATTATTACTATAAATTCAACAAATAATAATAACAATAAATAAATAAAATAAAATGTGGTTTTGTGTAAAATTGTACTATACGGAAGAATCACAAACATCCTGTTTCTGCTGGTTGGGTTTTTCACCTATCATGGAATGAGTATGCAGAAGGTTTGACTTGGTGATTGAATGAAACAGAAAGTTCCAAACGAATAAACTTTTAACATGATGTCAAACATATTTTTATCAGTATCTCATTAATAATTAGGTTTCCAAAATTTTAAACCAGTCAAATGATGAACAGCTAAGCATCCTTGAAATAAGTTTCAAAAAATAGTTAGAATAAGTAAATAAATGAGCTTTTTTGCTTAAAATTTAACCATAAAATCATGATTGCATTATCATTATATTGCTAATGATTAATTTATAATATCCCAATTATAAATAAATCAAATGATTGATGTGCTAAAAATTGCTAAAATAAACTTTATATAAGGATTAAAAATATAAAAATGATCTTTCTTTAAATTAGCAATAAAAAAAAAAAAAAAAAAAACAGGATAAAAGCAGACTTTCAAAATCTAATACTATACAAGTTCACGCATTCTCCCTTCCATTCCCTCCATTAACCCACATGCCAAATTATGTTGCATAATTTTACTCAAACATCTTCACATTCTAAAATCATACTTTTCAAAGAGTAAAAATAATAAAGATGACCTTCAGCTGAAAGTGTGATAACGTTAAAGCTTTTCACTTCACTCTCCTCCATTGGAAAATGACTTAAATATTTCTCTTTCATTGTTTCTTTCTCTTCTTCACATCTGTTGTAGAAGAAAGAGAATTCTAAAAATAAAGGCTTCTATAGCATCAATAGCATTGCTTAATTTTTTCAATTAAAATAAAGATGGATTGACATATGTAAAAAAACATTGTCTTAAAGTAAAAACAAACACAAGCTTTATTTTGATTTTTTTTAAAATTAAAAATGTCTTGAGATTTTTTAAAAATATTAATAAAACTGTTACAAAATATTTTACATATATTATAAATTTACAAAAAAGAGTAAAAGACAAACCAAAGAAATGTTCACTTAAATAAAAAATTTTAAAAATTATTTGTTGAAAAAAAGGTGCTTTTGAAACATCGTTAGACCTTTTTTAATTACTTATTTAAAAAAATAAAGTTGTATTGACTAATGGTCAAATGGTCTTAATAAGTGTGAAAATAAATGTAAGTTTATTTATTATTATTTCCTTTTTTTAAAATGAATTCGACTAATGATTTAAATGTTTAAAAATAATACTGACTATCTAACAAATTATTAAACGAACAAGTATCGAAAGAATTTTTAGGAAAATTAAAATATCTGTATATATATATATACTATATTTAAGAGCACTATTGTTACATTATTGAAAAGTGCTAAAACATTGCTTAACTTTTTATTTAATTACAAAAATTGTCAGTTTAACTAACAGCTAAATTTAAAAAATAAATGAATAAATAACGCCAACTCTGTTTCAATTTCCTGAAAAATAAAAGCTTATTAAATAAATTTAGGCTTTGTCTTAATTTTTTTAAAATTAAAAACGACTGAAGATTTATTGGTTTATAAACAATCAAATTCTATCAAATTATTACACTTATGTGCATTAAATAAATGAAAAAGAAACTAACTTTTTATAACAAAGTATAAGTAACTTAAATACAAAATATGTAAAATATTAAATTGTATCACTTTTAAAAAAAATCAATAAATAATCTTTTTTTTTATTCATGATTTCTTTTCATTAATAGATTTAGTTCAGAACGAAAATTTAAGAAAACAGCGATTGTGCTGCGATCGCCACTTAACAGTAGGTCTACTGAAAATAATTTCCGTGAAATGTTAAATACCGTCCAAATAAAACACACAGCGATTACAAAATAAGTCCCGTTCAAAATAATCTTCAAGAAAAGTAAAATCCCAAGGACAAAAATGGCGCTTAAAGAAACTATGCATCACATTCTATATTTCAATGCTGATCCTCACTTTTCGTCATTCAACATAACGAAACGAACATCTTCGTAGCTCAAAATCAAAATTGCCTTCATCGGCACGGTAATAGCGCTAGTATAGGCAAGAATCCTTGCATGTTAAACCCGGAGCATAATCTTAAATCAGATTCCTGATGCGTCGCCTAGAATCAAAGTCGCTATATCGGCCTGTTGATATATGCGTTAAATCGATAATTCACGATACATTGATTTATCGTCCAGTCCAACTCTGTACCAAAATTCATTTTTATTTTTCAAATTTTTGGGGAGTTGCTTAATAAGTATTTTAGTGTGGCATCATTTTTCATTTGTTTTAACTAATAGTATATTTTAAATTTTATTTGTTAGAAATCATGCTAAAACCATATTTAATTATTTAAAAATACTGATAATGAAAAATTGAACAAATAAAAAAGCAATAAGAATTTAGAAAAAAAAATTATTTCTTGTTTTAAGTAGATAGACATTGATTAGTTTCAATTAGAAACATTATAATTAGAAAATTTTTCAACATTCACTCCATTCACTTTTAAGACTATGCTTGGTAGCAAGACACATAGCCAATTTAAAGTTACCAAATGTTAGTTTTTGTTTTATTGCAAAAGATTTGTATGAAATCCTTGTATCGGGCTATAAAATATATTCTTCATCAGTGGCTTCAAAAAAATCTTAGCCCCAGTCCCCTGACTACATAGTAGCTTTGGTCTTCAAGACAGTTAAATTGACAGAGTATTGATTTTCTTTTATTGTGACTTGCAAGTCAGTTTTTTATTCCACCGCTTTTCATCATGTTCTAAAATATATTTTAAGTGTTTAGATCCTTAATTCTTTAGTTACTTAGTAACTGACCCTAAATTCTTTAGTAATAGAATCACTTCAGTTGTCATCACCTTTGCACTCCAAGTTCTTTAAAATGCTATTTAATGAGTGTAAGCCCTAAGTAATTTAAAATACATAATATAATATTTTTGTGTAATAGCTGAGAATCATAAAATTATTTGGTTACTAAGCATTAAGTTATAGAAATTCGAATTTTCTGAGTAGTGACTTTTAATATCCGATCAGAGAGGACATGGTAGTAAAGGTAAAAAAGGTTTTAATTTATTATGAACAAGGGCCTTACTTAAAATGTCTTTTTAATAGGATATAATAAAACACTATTCTGCAATATATGAGAGGTTTAGTAGCTGACAGTTCATTTTTGAAATAAGAAAAAAAAATCGTTTTATGTGAAATATGCAACCTGTTTTGTGCTAATGGTTTTATTTTAGAAACAAAAGAAATAGGATTGTGTTATATTTAAACTAAATGTAATTATAATTCATATAGATATTAAATGTAGAGTGATATGTGTAAACTTAAATCTATTGGACATAGTATATGTACTATTCATATTATTTGTTTTATTATTATGGTAGATACAATCTTAAACTTGTTTTAACTTTTGTCAGTGGAAGTATGTAAAAATTAAACTTTACTAACCATTTTCAGATTTGTACAAGTAATGCTGTTCGTGAAAGTGCCACTATTGCATTTAGCTCATCTGAAGGAATACCTTCCATGACATCTTATGATTCATCTACTTCAAACCATTGTGGCTTTTCATCCAATAACGCTGACTCATTTGCCAAGTTTGAGGAGACGAAGCTTGAAGAAGGATCTCAAAACTTACCTTTTACTGCTTCAAGTCAGGCTTTTAGGAACAATGTAAGCAAATCTAATGCAGATTTTCTGACTCAGGATCAACCTCTTGATTTATGTAAAAACAAAGACAAAAATGACATTTCTGTAAATAGTAAAACCATCACCACTAGCCACCAACAGCTAATTGAACATTTTGTAGATAAATTTTTGTGTGCAAAACCTGTGCCTCCAAGCAATTTTAAATCAGACTTTCTTGACCCAGTTCTATCAAAATTATTCTCTAACAAATCTTGTGATGTTCCTTGTACAGTGCCCAGCATTGAACCTTCCTCATTTACTCTCTCTGTTGCTATTGAATCTGCCGTAGATAAAGCATATAGTTCTGATTGTGTCAAATCTCCTGTAAAAGTATCACCTAATGTTGACACTTTAAGAAGTACAAGTTTTGAATTAGATACTCGGTCCAAAGAAGATTGTGACAATATTGTAAAGCCAGAACTTAAACAGCATGCCAAATTTGTTGAACAAAATTGTGTAAAGCTCTTCTCTTCAGATTGCAAAATTAAGGATATAGCTAATTCTAAGGAGCGGAATAATGTTCTTTCTTTGAATGCTAAAGTTGAACTCTCCAAACAAGAATCAATTGAAGCAAATATACCTGAGTGTAGTAGTGGCAGTAGTAGTAGTAAATATTTTTGTAAATTAGTTTCGCCTCCTAAAAAGTCTAGTGTGTGGTGTAATCTTTTTATGAATGAACAATTGACTAAAAATGATAGTAAGACTACTTCAAATATTTCTAATGACTCAGTAGCTGGTTTTCAATCTCCTACCAGAAGAAGTTCTCAGCGTACGTGTAAAGGTAGACGCTATCAAGCTCTTATTACTGAGGGACTATTACAATCTGCTAAAGAACGCAAACAAAATAACAATAAGAAGTCTGTACTCTCTAACAGTAAACTGAAAACAAAGGTTGAAACTATTATTGAGAATCATGTTTTTGGTTCTAAAAAGAAAAGAAAAAAAGAAGGCCAATCAAAAAATAAATCCACAAAAATAGAATCTCAAGCAGCTGATGAAAGGTAATATAGTTATTTTTCAGCCATATAAAATAAAGTTTTTATTTATTTTATTATATTATTTTATGTTGCCCACTATTTACTCTTGTCTTTTTACTTTAAAATTAACTTCCTATTCATCAGCGATGAAATTTCTTTCATTGCAATTCCCTTAATGAGCATGCTACTGTATTTTATTTTTGCATTTCTTCTATAAATTTTAGTTCTGAGTGATTCAAGTTAAACTTGGTTTAATTGAATCATCTGGTACTATTATTAGCACTTAGTATATTTACTTAAATCATTTGTTTTGTTTGAAACTCCTGTAGAAAAAAACCCAATGAATACTCATTTCTGATCTTGAGGAAATGAATGGCATACTAAAATGAGTTAATTCTAAAAACTGTTGATAATATAAATAACGTGGTGGTGTATTATGTCTTAAAAGGCATATATCACTGTTTTGTAGGGTTCTGTATAGAAAAGTAATGAATATTAAGTCCTTTAAATTCTTTGCCACTGATTTTATTTCAAACCATGAAAATGGTAGCTTATTTAGCTTAATTATTTTAAAAAGTTGTGTATAAAAAAACTGTTATAAGTATGAACATGGACAAATAATTTGATATCAACAGAAGTGAGGATTCAGATTTTTGCTCATGCAATAGTACATTTATGCAAGTCTGGTGTTTTAAATGTCGAAAATTTGGATGCATGGTGTACCTAATTTTCACTTAGGTTTTATCTTTCTAAAATCAATTTTACTCTATGAATATCTTCTGACTTTTAATATATAACTCATAAATTTGGAAATATGACATCCATTGGTGTTCTCTACAAGGAATCTTTCTTAATTAAGGATACTTAAGTTTTAATCATTCTGTGCTTGATCTTTTAGATTCAGCTCTCAGCATATAACTCCCGAGTTACTCTGAAACAGTAGTTGTAACAACAATAAGCAAAATGTTAATAGGTCATTTTCATTTCTTTTTTCTATTTTAAAATAAACTGTGTGAAAATGTTTATTCAACTTTGTAGTTGATTAATAAATGTTTAAAATTTTACATTTTAAAAATAAATAGTTTGCAGTTAGGGTGATGCAATCATAGCCTCAAATTAATGTGCACATGACTGTTTAAATCATTCATTCTTAATAATAAACTTTTAAAGAAAATTAACCAAACATTGTGTAGTTAATCATTAAATACCAAGTTTTATGTTATAACAAAACCAGCATTATAGTTGCATTAGAGTGTCTAAAATGTCAGAATAATATAAGTAAAACATAATAATAGAAAAACATTTTATAACAGATTTAATAATTAAAATTTGATTAAATAACTAAGGTTTAATTAAAACAAATAGTAGATTGTAAAAATTAGCTTAATGCAAACTAATTAAATACAAACTTAAGCGATTTATTTAAAATAGTTCTATCATTCAAAATAGGTAAAGTTTTTTACCCACATAATTATATCAGTAAGAATCATTTCTCTTGACGCTAGATTTTATTCATTGATCCGGTTTTCATAACACCAATACAAGTGGCGTTTTCGCACCAAGAAAATGACGCTGACTTAAATTAAAATTGTTTGCAAAAAATCATGTACCTTCGATAACATTTTGAAATCAATGGAGGTAACCTCTGAGAACAAACAACCTACCTTAACGACTATTTTACTGTGGAACAGAGAGTGGTCGCTCCTGAAAAGTTTCACTGTAATTGAGCTAAGTGAGTGGAAAAGTACAGCTCTGATAGTGTTAGTGATATAAAATGCTGTCTTGACATTTTTTTTTTCATATGCTTTGTTGATTATTCTTCAGTTTAAAGTAACAGTTTAATTAAACAAATATACTTATCTTTGCTTTACAGAAAAGAAGTGTTCACATATAATCCTTATTTGTAAGCTATATTTACAACTTATGGTTTTCAGTGTTTCTAGTTTGTGTGTCAGTTTTGTCTGCCTTATTTTTTCTAACATGTTTACAGTAAAAGGTTTAGAAGAATCATTTTGACAACACTATATTGATTTTTTAAATCTTGAAAGCATTGAGAGGTTGAGAATTTTTTTTACATGTTTTCTATTATTTTTATTTTTAGAGTTTAAACTGACATAAAAAGTAAATTTAATGATTACTGCTTTATAAAAGTTTAATTTATACTTAAATTAATGTGTTATATTCTTCTAATATATTTGTTTTATATGTATTCCATTTTATCCATTTATAACAGATAAAATGGAGTGTTTGATACATTTTGTTTTGTAATTTGATGTAATTAGACTTTTTATTTATTTATAGTTTGTTCAACTTGGAGGAAAAAATTGCTTCATTGCCTAAATGCAATTTCGAACATTTAAATAAAAAGAAAAAGATAATATTAGAAGAAAGCATGAATATTGAAAAGCAGAAAAACTTAAACATTAATTCTACCCTAACACATGCAAATGTTCAAGTGCCATCTTCTGCAATTTCTGAATGGACACCAGTTTCTTCTAGTGGGAGATATAAGACAGGGTATGTATATCTGAATATGTGCATAAATATGATTTTTTTTTGAAGAAAGGTTAGATGTTTGAATAAATGTAAAAGCTTGAGCAATGATCTCTTGCTTTTTATTTATTAGTTTCAAGTTTTTTTTTTAAATAATTTGTGATAATCATGCTCCTTTGACTTAAATTTCTAATTTCTTATTTACATTTAATGTTATTAATAAAATATACAAATGGTTTTGCTTATTTTGAAACTTAATAAAAAATTTAATGATTTTTTGTTTATTTTAAAACTTAAAGAAAATATTTTTTTTTCTTGTTAAAAACAGTATAATCTTTTGCAGTAAGAAGGTCTAATTATATTTGGAAGCATCATTGTATTGTTATAGTAGAAGGTTTATCTATAGGAAAGGAAATAAACTAGTCAATAAAAACTTTATTTGCTTCATTAAGTAGTGAAAAACCTACATGTTTTCAGTTCTCTAAAACAAGGCACCCCTTTTTTGAGACAAAGTCATTTCAAAGCTTGACATTTGTTGTCAGCAGGGTTGGAAGGTTTTTGACATGTGACAGTTTTTGACGGTTTAAACCATGGTTTAAACCGTCACGTCAAAAACCTCACTGTCAAAAATATCACAAATGTCAAAAACCTATATTCATATGTGAAATTTAATTAATACATAAAATTTATATATTTTTTTATAAAGGATAGTGTTTCTAAATATGTTCTAGAAAAAATAAATTTAAAATTTTGAAGAAACACTTATATTTTGAATAGTAACCAATGTGCCTATAGGAGCAATGTGTAATATAGGAGCAAATGAACTAGACTATTGAATTTTGAATTAAATTTCTACTTTCATCATTTTCATTTTGATTATGTAGTGTGATGCATGTTATAATTTTTAAAATTATGTATTTAATTAGGATAATTAAAAAATTTCCATAATAATTTGTTTAAATATTTCATGGATCAGTGACTGTAATGTTCTTCTGTTTAGTGTGACTTTTGTGATTGGTTGTTAATTTTTCAGAAAAATCAGTAATTCTGAATTTAAAATTTTCAATTTTTTTTAATTCATAGTTAACATAAGACAATACAAATTTAAGTGTTTTCTGTTAAATACACAGAGTAGTTAGTGTCGACTTTCAGTATATTCAACATTTACTATGCTGAAAATTTAGTTTATCCAAATACTTGTGAATTTCATTTTGCTGTCTGTTACAATCGTACC